TAATCTTGGTGGTGACGAAACTTCTGTTCTTTTCCCCTATCCTATTCATTGCCTCATGTTCAACTCATCACTTGCTGGAGTGGCCAGCATAATGCAACCTTACTTACTAGCACCTGGAGTTCTTGAGAGAATTGCAACTGAGGGGAAGGAGAAGCAGTTTGACCATCTGCTGCTCTGGTGAAGCCCTGATTCTAACTCAGAGGTTCTGTGCCTTAAGGCTCTCTCTCTTCTCCTTCAACTCTTTAGGACACCAGGGCCTGGGCTTGGCTCCTCTCTACCGGCAGCTGACACAAAATTCCCATCCTCTACTGTGAGCTCATAGGGTAAAAATAATCAGTCATCTGGGAACTACAGCATCTGCTATAAAAGACAACAGCTCAACCACTATTCTAGATGAAAGAGAATAAACAAAGACCATAGAATAAAATGTCATTATTAAAAGTGGAACATTTATAGAATATAGGGGGCTATAAACTAAGGATCCTGGTTAGGATCCTTATATATGCATACATATATACTTCAGTGTTCTATCAGCTGATAGGGCCTAGAAGCAACAAAACCTCAGTACCAAGAGCACATCTAGTGCCCAGATCTTGGTTCCTTAGTATTATTCTCCAATAAAGGAAGCAGGGCTCCTTGTGAGTACCAGGATAAAACTTACAACCAAATGGTTGACTCTGGGACTGGGACAGGAAAAATACAAGATGAGCCTGAACCATCGTATAGGGCCATAGTGAGAAGTGCTTAAAACAACCTCACAATGATGGGGGCATATTGAAGGGACATAGGAGCCACCTGAAACAGCTCCCAAAGGCCAAATCTGGAACACTTTAACAAAATTAAGTATTATTGGATTTTTTTCCTAAAGTATAAATTGAATAAATGAGGGAGAAGAGACCAATTTCTTTCTGAAGAATTCCAAATAACTTATGTAGACCTTCTACCCTCAAGGAGAACACAACTCCCCTCTCCTTAATTATGGGCTTCACATAGTGACTTTATTCCCAAAGAGTACAGTGTTGGGTGAGGGGGAGTAACTTTACAGTGGAGAAAACTGGCAAATAAGACCTCAGCCAGGTGATCAAGATTAACATCAATAGGAGAAAATCATATTGATAGTATACACTCTTGATACATGATGAGAATGGCACTTTACTTCTGTGTTCTCTCAAAATTCCTTAATGCCTAGCCTAATCCTGAGAAAAACTCAATCCTAATTGAAGGGACTTTTTACAAAACACCTGACCCAAAACTCAAGCTCATCAAAAACAAAGAAAGTCTAAGAAGCTGTCACAGCCAAGAGGAGTCTAAGGAGACGTGATGACTAAATGTAATATCCTCAATGGGATCCTGGAAGAAAGAACATTAAGTGAAAACTAAAGAAATCTGGATAAGTATGGACTTTAATAATGTATCGATATTAGCCCATTGTGACAAACGTACTATGCTAATATTAGTGGAAACCGGATGTGGGGGTACATGGGAATTTTTTGTACTATCCTCCCAACTTTTCTGTAAATCTACAACTATTCTAAAAAAAAAATAATAAATTTCAAGGTCCATTTTCCAGATGGTAGTTAAGTCCCCTTAACAAGCAGTACAGAATATTCCCACACCCCAAAGGCCTTTACTGGAGAACAGGAAGGAACAGAGTAACGGGCTCCACTCCTTTGAACTAGGCCTTAGAATACTAAATTGACAAATACATGACTCAACAAGTTGGCTCATTAAAAGTGTTCCTAAATATCACTAAAGAGGAAGAATGTTGCTAAGCAGACAATTCTAAGTATTACAGCTGATTTTTTAATTCAGTGAAATTGTTTTCCAAGAGAATATTACCTGGAGCTGTTCATAAAGCCCTAATTAAGCAACAAGATTCACTGGAGTCATTGTCACTCTTTTAAGTTCCCAATTAGTTGCTCTTACCAGGTTGTTTTCCTTTATGTGAATTCCTAGGCACTGAGCCACTTTTTTATGTGCCTTTGGGACCTGCAGAATTTATTCCTCTGGGGTCCTATTTTCCTGATTAAAATGTGAGACATGATCCAAAATTTCAATGCAACAGTCCATTGACAGTAGTTTCAACCCTGAAAGAAGGGAGGTAAATTATTTACAATGCCAGGGATATCACTCAATACGTGGGACCCCCTACTCACCCTGCTTTAGTTTTTCCTCTTAATATGGTATAGGACCGGGGCCTGAAACTTGAGCAGAGCAAAATAGAGGGGCACTTGTGTTTCTTAACTGCTACCTATGGCAGGAGGTAGCAGCTTGCATATTTACAGACCAGAAACCCTGCCAGTCCAGTTTCAATTTCCATTGCAGCATGGGAAAAGGATGATAAAGGGAAGGAATGAATAAAAAGCTATTTTGAAATGTTTTATATCATCCTCTTAGACTTGCCAGGAAATTAAAAAAAATCAAGTCAACAGGGAGTAGTCGGTGACTAATTAACTTCACTTATCAAGTACAAAAAAACCATTAAATTATTTTAATATGCACTATCAAGCCATTGAAACCTCTTGGGATATTGAATATAGGCACAAACACCAAATGAATTATCCCTTTTCAAGTAGGAACACAGGGGCCCCTCTCTGCACCTGGGTAGCCTACCATAGTCAGAAAGGCAATCTATGTTCTTAGAGGAACTTGAGATCCCAGATTTTAAACCCTGGCAATTCATGATATATAAAATTTTCCTCTTTCCTCTTTCCTTAGGGGCCATTTCTTTCTTTTTTTTTTTTTTGAGGAAGATTAGCCCTGAGCCAACATCTTCTGCCAATCCTCCTCTTTTTGCTGAAGAAGACTGGCCCTGAGCTAACAACCATGCCTATCTTCCTCTACTTTATATGTGGGACACCTGCCACAGCATGGCTTGCCAAGTGGTGCCATGTCCACACCCAGGATCTGAACTGGCGGACCGCAGGCTGCCGAAGTGGAACATGTGAACTTAACCGCTGTGCCACAGAGCTGGCCCCATAGAGGCCATTTCTATTTCCCTACTTGGGACTGAGGGTCAGGCTCTGCTGGAAACTGAAGACTGCTGTTCTTTCTTGGGACCTCTTTCTTAGGTATATACTACAAGTGGAGAGAACTACTATGATAAAAGTAACCCATGCAAAGGGCATACATAAACTCCAAACATAAGAAATAAGGACTATTCTACTACTGGATAATTTACTAATGTCACCTTAGTCCTCTTAAAGATGAAGAATAAGCCTGTATGGTAAAGATTTGCTATAAGGCAAAGATATTGACAACATGGAATTTTTCAGGGAGGCATGTTGGTACTGGCCCTGAGTCTGTCACTAATGAGCTGTCAACTCTCAAGGCTTGAATTTCATTCTCTAAAAGGGGGTTTGGTAAACTATAGCCAACCCCTGTAGAATGGTTTGGTGGGGTGTGGGGGGGTGGATTTTGTTGTGACACTGAAAATTTTATGAAATTCCTATTTCAGTGTCCATAAGTTGTTTTTGTGGTTTTTTTTTTTTTTTTGAGGAAGATTAGCCCTGAGCTAACTACTGCCAATCCTCCTTTTTTTTGCTGAGGAAGCCTGGCCCTGAGCTAACATCCATGCCCATCTTCCTCTACTTTATATGTGGGACGCCTACCACAGCATGGTGTGCCAAGTGGTGCCATGTCCGCACCCAGGATCCAAACCAGTGAACCCTGGGCTGGCCCCAGTAAAGTTTTATTGGAACACAGTAATGCTCATTTGTTGACATACTGTCTACACCTGCTTTCACACTGCAATTGCAGAGCTGAGTGGTTGCAGAGACTATATGGTATGCAAGCCTAAAATATTATCTGTCCTTTTACAATGTTTGCCAACCCCTGCTCTAGAAAAGCAGTGTGTACTAAAATTTTCTGCATTACTGGAAATGTTCTCCAAGCTGTCCATTATGGTAGTCACTAGATACAGTCATTTGTTGCTTAACGATGGAGTATGTCCTGAGAAATGTGTCGTTAGCCGATTTTTTCATTGTGTAGTTACACAAACCTAGATCATCAGTGTAGCCTACCACACACCTAGGTTATATGGTATTACTCTTATGAGATCACCATCATATATACAGTCCACCGCTGCCCAAAATATCGTTATGTGGCACGTTACATACTGAGATGGAGAAACTGATTTTAATTTTTGTCAATTTAAATAGCCACATGTATTGCACAGCAGAGCTCTAGAAAATGAGGGCTTAGTTTAAGTCTTGGACTCTGGATTAAGCATTCTTCTCTAAAATTCTGATACTCTCCATTATTTTTTCAGTATTTTAAGTTTTTCTACCTGTAAAGAAAACCTCACTTCTCCTATGTTTTTCCTTTACTCTCACACTACTACGACACTCTCAACACTTCTTCTGACCCAGATGTGTAGGGGTTTTTCCCACATCAAGCAAATGTGTGTCACCAGGTGGGTGTCCTACAATTTAACTCAATTCTGACACTACCTACACCTGGAGATACCACAGGCTAAGGGCATAGTCCCACAAGACTGCCCCTCCCCCACTTCAGATGCCAATCATAAGTCCAGGTTGTTACCTGTGTTTCTGACCAATCAGCTATATAAATCTGACATTCCCACAATGCCCTTCTCGAGTTCAATTAATTTGCTACAGTGGCTCACAGAATTCAGGAAAACAGTTTACTTACTGTTTACCAGTTTATTGTAAAAGAATACCATAAAGGATACAGACGAATATCCAGATAGAAGAGATGGATGGGGCAAGGAATGTGGGAAGGGGTGCCAAGCTTCCATGCCCTCTCTGGGTGCACCACTCTTCCAGTGCCACCAAACGTTCACCAACCCAGAAGCTCTCTGAACCCCATGCTACTGGGATCTTTATGGAGGCTTCAGCACATAGACACGAGAAATTAGTAACTCCATTTCCAGCCCCCTCTCCTTTCTTAAGAATGGAGAGTGAAACTGAAAATTCCAACCTTCTAATTAATCATTGCTTGGTCTTTCTGGTGAACAAACTCATTAGAACAAAAGACATTCCTATCACCCAGGAAATTCCAAGGGATTTAGGAGCTCAGTGTCAGGAACCAGAGCCAAAGACCAAATCTTAGAACAAAAGATGCTCCTACTGCTATTATCACTTAGGAAATCACAAGGGTTTTTAGGAGCTCTGTGCCAGGAATGGGAGCAAAGACCAACAGATATTTTCTATTATTTCACACCACCCATCTGATGCAAGTTAATTACAACCTACATGACAAAAGAACTACATACACTACTTCTCTTGGTGTCACACAGGGCTGTCAGACATCTGAGGTCCTGATGAAGGCAGGTTTCTCACTTAGGTGAAGGTATCTAGGATCCAAAGAAGAAAAGAATGATAGGCTGTCCTTAAGACAGGGTCCTTTTCTAACAGAAATAAATTGTTTGCACCCAGACTAGGACCAACTCCACAGGAGGAGTTACTCCACTCTCAGAGGTGCAAAACACTGCCCAAAGGTACTCAGCCACAACACCAAAACAGTGCTTGGAGCCATACCTCAGCATAAGGCAGCGTTTACTCTTCCACCAGTGTAACACCATCCAAGGCATCGCACTAGCCTGGATAGCTGACAACCGCTGGATGATTCCTGAAACAGCTTTGTTTCAGATACCCAGGCACCCCACGTAGAAGATGTGGATATAGGCATACCCATGAATTGAAGGTTGACTGCAAAATAGGGGCCTAGAAGCACTGATTGCAGACTCTGCTGCCAAATCCTTTAAACAAATAGTAAACAAGAACCCCTTCCCCATGCCTTCAGTCATTTTGTCCAACATTCAGGGAGCTCCTGCCATGTACTGGGCACTGTGCTTGGGATCTAGCAATAAACAAGGCAAGGTACACTCCCCTTTCCCTCATGAAATTTACAATCTCCCCATAAATTCCTCAAGTGAATCGACACAGATAACCTCAAAGATTCTACAGGCCTTCAGACCATTACCACCAAAATCCCACTTTCACTGACTAGAGGCTGAATTTGTTGGGGGCAAACATACATGATTTTGCCTTCCAATTGTTTCCTGACGGACACCAACTAGCAAACAGGCCTGGCACACAGGAGGTAGTCAATGTTGGAATAGGGACATTTACCTGAAAACTCCATACACAGACTGTCCGCCTTTAATTTCCTCTCTTCAGGAGGGCCAAAGATGCCCTACTTTCAAGTCATTCTAAAAAGAAAGAGATTTCAATGTTCAACACCCCAGACTAAAACAGCTGCTTTTCTGCAGAGATGGAAACAGAATGCTGTCTGCCATTTATGATTTACCATATTTTTTATATCCTCAGGAATTATTTTATTCCCATTGTTTGCCTTTTTCCTGCCTATGGTTACCATTAATGCTAACCACCTCCCAAGGCCCCTAGATATCACTAGTCTTAAGATCCCACTCGTAAAAGGCTGGTCACAATGAACATGTGAGGTATTCTACACAAAGCACTCAACGTTTAGCTAAGAGAATCCTTTCAAGGGAAAGCCAATTGATAGAACAAAACTAGCTTTGATAAATAACTCCCCCGCCTTCTAACATCCTCACCAGTTCCCCAAGGAAATGAGGATGTCACTTTTCACAGAAGCAGCAACTAAGTCAGCCCTATTGGACAATCTCCAGCATCACCCCGAGTGCTGTTTCCCTAGAACTGAGAAGCATCTCTTCTCAGAAAATTAGCATTCCAAAACAAAATCACTACAAAGGGGACTCAATATTTACTGCTCCAAAGGGGCAACAACTCCTCACTCCTGAAAATGAGTAAGAAACCAGCACAAATATGCTGTCGGCCTAAGCAGAAATTAGTACGGCTGTAGCTAGGCCTACTGTCTAGAGCCTCTCAATCAATTGGTATTTTTATATTCTATTAAAGAGCTAGAGAAGAATGCCCATGATTTTAAAGCAAATTCACATCAATATTTCCCTGATAAGGCATTCCTGTAGATATCTACAGCTATGAAATCCCCCTACAAAGGAAGCATCATGACTAGCTTTGTATAGAAGGAGAGTGGGAGCCATGCACTTTGATTTCAGTGAAAACAGCAAAAATCCCATTTACTTCGTTCCCTGTGTAAGTCCCTTTTTGAGTACTTGGTAGGGACTCAAAAAATAAAAGGCTGACTTTCCCTGTCTACTTACATCCCTCCATGGCTTGATTACCTTTGTTCTGTTTCCTGGGTGTGATTTAGGCAACTTCGCACTAGTCAAACCTGTTGCACCAGAAACACTCAGAAACGTCTGGATTTTTAGGTTTCTCCCTGCAAAGTCATGCTCATGCAGATTTAACCCCACTGGACAAACAACTATGCTGGCATCCTGGTATAGTTAACAACAGAGTTGGCATGAACCAGGCCCAGAATACCAACCAGCTATCGGCTGCTGTTCTCCCAGCAGTGTAACACTTGCCTAGGTACAAGGCAACCTAGGCAGCTGCCTACAGCTGGGGCCAAAGGTAGGCTAATGGAGTTGCACTCACCTGGGGTTGCATTTGCCCAAAGTCCACAGCTGGCCCCTCTGCAATCAAAGTACTCCAGGTTAGTCAGCCAACAGTTAGTGAACACCTGTGGAGTTCAACACCCCTGCCCTCAAGACTCCTTAACTTAGTGAAGCCTGAGCCACAGAAACAGCAAAGAATAACACAAATAGCTTTCCCTTGGTTAACTTTATTTTCACATGTTATTTACTTATGTAACACAGCAGTTCAACAGAAACAAATTAATGGTCTAGCCAACAAGTACCAGGAAGCTTGGCTCTATCACTTAACCAACAAGTATCAGGAAGCTTGGCTCTATCACTTAACAGCCAAATCACAGTGGACAAGTAACTTAACCTCTCTGTACCTCCAGTCTTCTCATTTGTAAAATGGGATTTTTTTTTTGCTGAGGAAGATTTGCCCTGAGCCAACATCTGTGCCAATCCTCCTCTTTTTTGCATGTGGGTTGCCACCACAGCATGGCCAGCGACAAGTGGTATAGGTTCAGGGCCTGGAACCAAACCGGAGGGGGCCAAACTTAACCACTGGGCCAGGAGGCTGCCCTGGGAATGTTATTAATAGTACTCTGTACACAGGATGGTGGAGAAGCTTAAATGGCATATAAATTAAGTCCAAAGGATAGTATCTGGTATAGAGTGGGCACTCAGTAAACACTTGCTGTTATCAGGAGCTACATTCTAGGCACGGAGATAATGAATAGAGATTAGAAGGGGGAAAGTTACCCTGGGAGAGCAATGGGCAGTGAAAATTTGAAAGGCTGGTTAAAACTAGATTGAGGAGGGCCTCGATTATGGGACCTCTTGAAAAAGAATAAAAGCAGCACTTTGGAAAATAAATTGGATGCAATAACGGATGAGCAAGGAACTGGAGACAGATGGCCGCTCCTGCCAACGACCTGAACTACTGGCTGAAATAACCAAAATGTTTGCAAGAAGGTTAATAAACATCCCTACTCACTCACCCTTATAATTTATGTAAGGTTAGGGTATCTAAAACCATACCTTTTTACAGCCATCCTCCAATTTCACTCCTAACCCCCTCCAAACAATTTAGAGGAAAAGGAAAATAGACGGGGTTCATTGTCCAGGTCTAGAAACAAATCTAAAAATAGCCTGCCCCTTCCAGCGGCTTGGGTTGAAGGCACTGACGGAGCTCCACCGGGACACGTGTTCCTCACAAACCTTCCTAAGTCCCTGGCCCTTGCACCTGGGAAGCGACGCTCTCCGAGACAAGCTGTAGGTGACTCTCCAGGGAAGAGAGAGAGTGTAGAAAACAAGGGGCGACTCTAGGGCTACGATCTCCCAGTGTCTCTTCAAGATGCCCTCCAAACCCCGGGTCACGAGGGAGCGAACCCCAGTTTCGCCCTGTACCTTAGAAGCAGCCTCCTCACAGCTGCCTCTCGCCCCGGCTTGCTAAATCTCCAAGGCCTCCCCCGACTTGGCCCTTACTCACCCGCACGTGTCCGGAGCTCGGCCGGTGCACTCCAGCCCGGACAGAGGCTGCGGGGAAAAGGGCAGCCGGGAGCCGAGGGGAGCCCCGCCCCGGGACGCTGTTGGGCGGGGCCTCGGGGGCGGGGCCCGGAAGCCCCGCCCAGGAAAGGCTGCGTTAGAAAAATACGAGTGCGGTGGCAGAGGTGAGGAAGACCTCAGAAGAGGAAGGGCAGGAATCCGAAGGAGGGGTACGTTTATTCGACTCGCATCCCGTTTGTTACGGATGGAAGGGGCGCTGAGGTTTGAAGCTGCTAAAGAGAAAATCTGCTGTGTCCTAGTGGGGCCATGCTTCCTGCCTGCTCACACCGAGCGCCCCCTAAATGCCGGTTCCTCTCACACGTGTGGCACCTTTCGGTTCCTGCAGGCTCAGCCCACGCTTTTTCCACCTCCCACGCAGATCCTCTTTATGGCTTTCTCCAGCAGCGCTGTCACTTGACTAATGGATCCTCACCCACACAGGTCACCTTGGTTTTCGGGGTCTCTCCAGGAGGTTTTTGGGTAGATTATGCCCAGTCACTCTTACAGTCTAATCCCGAGAGACCACATCCCTCGTGCCCTGCAGTGGGATCTTTAGCTGAGCTGCAGCAGCTAAAGAATACTGGCTTTCTTTCAGACTTGCTTTGCACCGTGGCACAATCAGCTAAAGAGGCCACATCCTTGATCTGGACAGGTTGTCCACTAGATTACCAGCATTTCTTTTGAACATTAAAACTTCCTTCCACCACTAGCTGGAGTCAATATGATTCTGTCCTGCTGCACAGTTGGTAAAGTTGGGGCCCAGAGGGGCAAGGCCTAGCAGCAGTAATTCCCAAATCTGTTCCATAATTCCCCAAATTCTAGAGCCCCTCCCTTCCTAGCATCTTACCGGCTCTACTAATCTATTGCACCTGGCACCTTTGCCAGGCAAACGCCTAGGAATCAGCCACTGCCGTTGGCACCTGCCAACATGTTTTATTATCTATTTCCTTAGCTATTTCATAATGGAAAAAATGTGCTTCCTGTGCACCCCAACCCTCGCAGATATCTGCTGAGAAAGCCCAGAGCCCTAAATTGATTCCAGCAAGAAACCCTAGGCTCTTAGGCCAGGGAGCCACTGGAGAAGTGGCAAGCACAAATCCTCCCAGTTTCGATGGAGTGGGACACAGGCTCAGGTTGGGAAAATACTTACATAAATATAGTAATTTAAAAAGTCACATGAGCAGTGCTGTGCTGGTAGGCAGAAGCTCTGCTTTGCAGTTAAATAGGCATGTGGCTGAAGGCTGCTGTCATAATCAATGCCTGCATCCGGCTGTCACACTGTGTTCATAAAGGAGGGTTATGAGAGCTATAAAGCCGGGCAGATTGGGTGGGTAATTGTCCTGCAGAGTTCTGCTCAAGGAGAAACGGCATTGCCATCTCATATATTTTGCTTTCTTTCCTTCCAGACACACAAAATGGAGAAGGCAGAGCTACCCTGAGGATTCATGAAAAGGAAAGATGATGTTTGTGTGAACATGTGCATATGTGCTTTCAGAGAAGAAACAGGAAGTAATTGAGGCCAGGGAGATACTAGGGCCTTTGGGGAGAGAGCAACCAATGACCTGGTGACAACTGGATTCACAGGTTAGTCCAGGGAGAACACAGGATTTGTGTGGAGGGAAGGTTGGCCTTTAGGAGTAAGGCTGAGAGGTGGGCCATATTCTCCTGCCATTGTGAAAATGTGGCCACCTTTTTTAGGTATAGCCCATTCGGTATCCTTTGGAGGAAAACCTAGATTATGATTTCCTCGTTTCCTAGATAAAACTCCTTTATAATCAACTTACTTAACCTCTATCCTTTTAAATTCTGAATTCATTTTGTGGAGTTGATTTATGTGGTCTTTCACCTATGATATCAACTGCTTTTCTAACTTTTTGTTTGTTTCTTATTCTTGCAAAGACAAAATTGTTAGGAATAATAATGAAAAAGGAAAATTTCTAGAAAAAAATGCAGCCAAATGAAAGGTAAAGGATTAGAGTGGGTCCATTGGCTCTGAGTTTGACCTCATAATTGAAAGGCTGGCCCCAAGGAACACTAGGTCCCCAAATTTCTTGCCTGCCTTTCCATTTCTCGTCCATCTCTCCTTACCTCCTTGCTTCCCCCCGGAGACTGCTCTTTTCCTCTCCTCCCTAGACAGGAACCACCAGTGGAGAAATATTTAATCATTTGTTCAATCAGTCAATCAACATTTACTAAGCATCTACCATTTGTCAGACCCTGTTCAGGCACTGCAGATAAAGTCAGAGCAATAGAGATCCCTTGCCTGCCTAAGGTTTATAATCTAGTGGAGGAAAAAGACAAGTACTATAGGTATACTTGTACATATGTCAGGGGGCAGCTAACCCAGCCTGGGAGGTAAGGGAGAGTACTAGAGATGGCAGTTAGAGAGATCCTTCCTCCATTCCTGTACTACTCTTGCTGCTGCTCTGAGTAGTTTCCCAACTTAGAGTAGAGGCCTGCAGTTGTCCTTATTATTTCTCAAAAGCATAGTAGGATTGGCAAAGTTAGAGGGAAATTGGAACCCTCACACGCTACTGGTAGGAATGTAAAATGGTGCTGCCACTTTGGGAAACAGTTTGGCAGTTCCTCAAATTATTGAGCATAGAGTTACCTTATGACTCAGCAGCTCTACTCCTAGGTATATACCCATGAAAATGAAAATATATGTCCACACAAAAACTTGTACACAAATGTTCATAGCAGCATTCGTAATAGCTAAAAGGTTGAAACAACCCAAGTGTCCATTAACTGACAAATGGATAAACAAAATATCATATATCCACACAGTGGACTACTTGGCCATAAAAAGGAATGAAGTACTAATTTAGATTACAACATGAATTAATCTTGAAAACATTACATTAAGTTAAAGAAGCCAGGCCACATATTGTTTGATTCCATTCATATCAAAGTCCAGAATAGGAAACTCTGTTGAAACATAAAGTAGATTCGGGGTTGCTTGGGTCTGAGGTAGGGATGAAGTGATAGCTAAAGGCTATAGGGTTTCTTTTTGAGGTGATGAAAATGTTCTAAAATTGTGGTGATGGTTGCACATATCTGTGAATATAATATAAACCACTGAATTGTATACTTTGGGAGAATTGTATGGTATGTGACATATCTCAATAAAGCTGTTAAAACAACAACAGTGAAAAGCGTACGTGGGGACCTGAAAGATCTGCAATTCTGATTAAAATATGGTCTGTGTTGTCATTGACAAGTTTAAGGGCTAGAAAGGACTTTTTATTATGGATCCTGTGGCCTCTCAGAATCCTTCTTCAGTATACAGAGAAACAATCCATTTGGGCAGGCAAACAAATGCAAAGGGGTAGACAATGCATTCTCATACTTCCTCTCTCTAACTTGACTCCCTCATAATGATTCAGTTCAACATTTCTGGTGTACCTACTGTGTAGAAGTTATATGGACCTGAAAGAGATAGAGTCACTTTATTCCTTCCAATGGTTGAAATTAAATTATTAATATAATGCCCACTGCATAAACAAATATAGTTCTTTAAAAGATAGGCAATGTGATACAAAGAAAAGTTGCAAGGCATTCTGGGATTCTGGGCTCCCTCTGTAGCATGTAGGGAAACGTCATAGTGACATCAGCTAAAGCAAGACCAGTTTTCATCCTTCTTGATGTTGAGCAAGTTCCAAGACTTGGCTCCCTCCTCACATGCCTCCAATCACCCCTTCATTTGGTTTCTAGACTCAATTAGTTAGTCTATTTTCATACCCCTCAATTTCTTGCCACCCCCACCCCCACAATGCCCAAATTGGCCCACCAATACTGAGACCATTTGCCGGAAATTCATTAAGCTAAACACATGGGAAATTACAGAGGAGATTTCACTTGTCACTTAGGCTCAAATATAGAAAGTAATTTTAAAAGGACAGTGGCGAGAGGCTATTTTTATCTTGCTTGTTTGTACTGAGTTTTCTTATCTTGCTGTCTCTCATTCTCCTCCTGGCCACCTCTCTTCTTCCTTGCTTCTTTAAACATTGGCTTTTTAAATCTTTTAAACATGTAGTTTTGTTTTGTTTTTTTCCTTTTTCTCCCCAAAGCCCCCCAGTACATGGTTGTGTATTCTTAGTTGTGGGTCCTTCTAGTTGTGGCATGTGGGACACCGCCTCAGCGTAGCTCAATGAGTGGCGCCATGTCCGTGTCCAGGATTCGAACCGACAAAACACTGGCCCCCTGCAGCAGAGCACGCAAATTTAGCCACTCGGCCACGGGGCCAGCCCCGGCTTCTTAAATCTTTGACTCATGTTCTCTTTTCTTGCTTTATAGAATCTTCTCTGTCCTCATCATTCATTCATTCGACAAATATTGAGTATCTACCATGTAGCAGGCCCTGTTCTAGGCACTAGGAGGGATGGAGTGATGAGTAAGACAGATATGGTCCTTATCATCATGGAGATTACAGTCTGATGAGGCAGGTGGACATCAGGTAGAGTGAGTTCAGATTTGGTCACAGGAAAGCCTTGAGGAAGTTACTTGTACTTTTCTGATGCTAAATTTACACTGCAGTAAATGGGCATGTGAAAATAGCCAGAATCTCAGAATGCTTGTGGGATTAGGGAATAAACCAAATATATCACAAGGAATGTAAGGAAACCAAAGACCCAGGTTTCTGTGTGATATAGACAAGCAGCCTGGGTAGAGAGAACATGGATTTGGCAGTCAGATGTGAATTTGATTCTGACTCCACCACTTACGTATTAGCTGTTTGACTTTAAGTGACCTCTGGACCTCAGTTCCCTCATCTATAAAATGGGAATTGTAATTTCTACATTGTAAGTTGTTGTGGAGATTAAATGAGATATCATATATAAGGGACCAGGCAGGTGCCCAACCTATGTCACTTCCTTTCCCATTACCTCCCTATCCCATCTTTGAATCTTACCATTCCAAAAAACAAAAAAAAAAAAGCCGAGTCTCCCAATTGATGGGAAATGACATTCATCAAATGGTATTCACCAATCATATGCCCAGAAAGATGCGTTGTAACTATATGGGTTACTATATTGTGCTATTCATGCAAGTTATGACAGTCAGATCACTCCCTTCTTCTGGGGTAAGGGAAAGGCAGTAAAAAAATGAAATTATAGGAAAATGAAAGAGATATAACAAAGGACTTCCTCACTGTGAAGACTAGAAATGTGAGTGGTGTTAAAAAACAAAATTCGACTTAGTAAATTTGAAGATCTAACTGGCTTTATTCAATGATTCATGAATAGGTAAGCATCCCACCTAGAAAATAGAAAGGAACTCCAAAGGAGTTGTACAAAATGGAAGGCTTTTATAGACAAAAGGGGACAGAAAAAGGAAGTTTCTAGAAAAGAGTGGATTGTTTCAGGCAAGGTCGCCTTCCTTTGGGGGAAGGTGAGGGTGTCTCAGGCAGATTACCTCACTAGTGCTGACCAGGTAATTCCAGATTGGCTGGTTAAAGGTCACATTCCTGGGAGAGCCTGAAACTGCAATTAGGTTAGATATTAAGTCTTGGTTTGCTGATGTGGGGCTTAGCACAAGCGACTCCATTTTAGGCCTGTTGTTTCTTTCTTTTCTTTTTTTTTTTTTTTTTGAGGAAGATTAGCCCTGAGCTAACTGCTGGCAATCCTCCTCTTTTTGCTAAGGAAGACTGGCTCTGAGCTAACATCCATGCCCATCTTCTTCTACTTTATACTCGAGACGCCTACCACAGCATGGCATGCCAAGCGGTGCCATGTCTGCACCCAGGATCCGAACCAGTGAACCCCAGGCCTCCAAAGCAGAACGTGTGCGCTTAACCGCTGCACCACTGGGCCAGCCCCAAGTTGTTTCATTTTTACTAGTGAATGCCAGAGAAAGCTACAGAATCTGCTTTTTTAACTGTATGTTTGGACGGGGCTGAGGCAGGCCTACCTGGAGGTAAGACTAAACCTGCCAATGCCTTCATGTCCCATTTATCCTAAGGAATCTTTGTGGGAGGAATTGCTGTTTCTCTTCCTTTTCCAAGCCAGGCGTGCTCTGGGGAGAGGAATGATGCCAAGAAGGCTTATTACTCACAAAGAAAGGAAAATGGCAGCTGCCATTTCGGGCACTTAATAAGTACACTAAATTGAGAAGCTGCTGATTTGGTTTACCTAATCCCTCCTCCTGATAAAGAAGAAGTCTCGTCAATCAGAGGTTCCTTGAAGCTGGAAAGAAAGCCTGAGCTCCAACTGTGGAAATTGGCAGAGGCAACGCTTAAAGGAATAAGCCAGGCTCAGCAGGCAGCACCAGGATTCCTGGATTCCCTCCCCGGCTCCCACCCATGGGAAATTTCAGGTTGCCTTTATTCTGCAGAGTTCTTTTCAAAGGGGGTGAGGTTAGTTGTCCTTTTCTCCCTTCACCACTATTTTTCTTTCTTCTTGCTTCTCCTTTCCTTCTTCTCACTTTCCTTCCCTTCTCTCTGGTGCCTCCTCCTTTTCATTTTCTCCTTCCTCTCCCTCCTCCCAATCTCCATTTCAGCTGTTGCATCTCATTGCCCACTCACTGGAATTTCTGTTCCAAAAACTTCAGAATTCCTTCTTGATCTAAAGTAACAATACTCTCCT